AGATGAAGATCGTTTTGATTCCGGAGTGACGTGATGGATCCATGTTTCATCCATTGTCACATAACGACGCAGAAATTCCAGTTTGTTATGATCAAACATGGCCAAACACTGCTCATAATCATCAGGACGTTCTTGTTTTTGGTCTTGGGTGTCACACCAATAGGTGGTTCCACTTATGTTTCGCTTGCGTTTACGCAGCTATTTTTATATTGAATGATGCAACTAATTTTCCTTTATTTTCAGTATTTTAATATTAAATGTAAGTCACAAAAAGAATTTGAAGCTTTATAACTTCTATTTAATTATCTACAAGCGCTTCAAACTCCCTTCAAACTCCTTCTTCAAACGGCCTTCAAACCCGAATGGAGATAGTAACACTGAAATAATAATCTTTATTTGAAAAATATGCTGACTATTACACACTATACATAAACAACATAGAATTAAATAATGTCACAAAAATAACATATATGCAAAGAATCACCATATATAACCATAACTATAATAATTTCTATAAATTTCCAAATTCAGTTTGGTTCAAATAATCAACAACACCATTTGATTCTAGTACTACTAACAATGAAATCTTTGATTTGATTAGGCAACTTATTATACAGTTCCATTGCTATATAATGAGGAGTTTTTTCAGTTATTCCTATGAATAGGAAGCTTGTGATCATTTCTTCTTGTTTCATAGCATTGTTGATGGGTACTGTTAAAAAATAGATGTCTCTATTTTAATAGCAATATTAAGCATTCATAAATGTAAAGGGAATATATCCTCATTATTCCATTATTCTTGAAAACATATCTACACTATTCATTTTACTTCAAATTATTAATTTTTTTTAATAGTCCTTTTGTGAATGACAACTATTTTTTTTCAGTATTACTATTCCTTTCTCAAAATATGAATCCACATCTAGCTACAGAATTAAAATTGGCGAAGTATAAAATTTTTACTGATTCTGTGTTGGGATTTTTGTGAATCATATGAAATTTTATTCAATTTGTTAGCTGTATAATCGATGTGTTTGCTCCATTTCGAAAATTCATCAATATAACTTGAAACTTGGTGTCTTCTAAATATTTTATTATTGCTATTTTCAATAATCAAATTTTGAGGCCTTTTTATCTGTAATTGATTACCTTTATAAAGTATGAGATTTAGTTTTAGATTCATTCAAAATCAATCTATTCATAGTGAATCATTATTTTGTATTGTTGAACATTTCCATACCTTTATTCACTAGTTCAGGGTATTTTTAGTGACTACTAATGAATTAGTGTCATCAGCAAAGACTGTAATAAATGTATCTATTCATTTAGATAATAAATAACAAAGGATTGGTAATGCGTTCTTGGTGTATTTCTACTTTTACTATAACATTCTCAGATTTATATGTTCGACCATGTTTGTTAATAGTTACCATTTGTTGGCCATCAGTTAGATAAGACTCAATCCATTTCAGTAAATTTCCTAAGTATAAGTTGGAGAATCATTCTCTTTTGATATACCTCCATATCAGTGGGTATAGGGTATGATACCTAATTTCTACAGAATTTTTTGATATTGGAAAAAATATCATTATGGAGATGCTTTTCCCACCTATCAAATATCAGAGAAATGAGATTGATTGTTCATGATTATCAGGTGCATTACTTCCTTACTTTTCTGATTTAACAATATCAATTTTTTATTATGGGTAGCTGAATATTTTGATTACAATCTTTATATATTTTTTGTATTCATGAGCCATATTTTGTGATTTGATTAAGCAATTTGAATAATAAAGTTAGTTTTTTGAGCCATAGTTTTAGTTGTAATTCACCTATGTAAGCAATTTTGAACATTTCAATTTATCACAATGAGTAATTATTATTATAGTTTTTGTAGTTCCTAACCCATTAAATATCTTTAAAAACATTATATGGCTTCCCCAACCTCTATAGTTGAGCCATTCCCTTCACACTAAGTTCCATTTGATGTACAGTGCTTATTTTCATTCTAGATTCCGACACGAAAATGTATCTGAGTAATTGGCACTTACCTCCCTGAAATTTTTGGAGGGCATCTCTCAACTCTGGTACAACTTTCAAGCATTGTACAGTGGCATTCATGTAACAGGTGTTTCCTAAATTTGTTAATCCAGCTGGTAAATCTAACTGAAAAAATCAACAATTTATTTTAGAAATATTACTAGTAGAGATACATACTGCTGTTGCCAATTCACTTTCATTCATATCTTCTACAAAAACGGTTTTTTCTACAGGTTCCTTTGGAACATCTTCTTCTTTACTACCCATCAATAAAACAGTGACCCCCTACAAGTAACATTTAATTTGATGAAAAATATGATGACAAAGCATGTTTTCAACCTACATCTTTCATTTTAAAATTGTCCCAATCACTGTCTTTGAGCGTTACACCTTTAATCATTACTTTCTGTCTTTCAGGCTGCACTCCAGTTAATGCAAATAACTGAGCTTTAAATAACAAAGGAGGTTCTTCAGTATTCACCTCAATACCTGGATAGGATTCCTTTCCCCATTTAACTTTTACTGAAATCAAGAGTAACAGTTGCAAAATTATGAACAAATATTCATTTTGTTTTTTGTTGAATAAATATTTTGGTACATCATTGATTATAATAAAAAAAAAAAACATTAGAAAAAGTTTTACTAACCTTTATATTGTGGCATGACATTTGTTTGATAGTGTTATATCTGCTGTACCTCTTTCATCTTTTGAAAAATAAATGTAATGATAAAATTTACAAAACAAATTGTAATGGGTTTAATGTTCTGCCATAATTTTTCTATTGCTTAGAGATTATTCATTTATATGTTTACTTTTTTGCTGCTCATGTACTATTTTTATATTTGAATTTGTATTTAAATGACATGAATAATCTAATCTAAAAACATAAGGGGGAAAATGAACTTTTTATGTTTCAAGTAGATAAAACATAACTTACTTGTACTGTTCCTGTGGAGTACCTTCATTTTGTTTGGCAGGTAACTTTTGTTGCAACATTCGCACCATTTCAGTCCAGCATTCATTTGCATCCTACAACATTTAAAAATTCTTTATTCAAGTAAAAAAAAATCTCTTATCAATCACCTGTTGAGAAAATGCACCATGTTCATTTTTTTCTGCAAATCTAGGAAATGCCATATGCATTACTTGTAGAAGAACTATGGGAGGGACTGTATTACCTTTGTCCATGTTATTGTAAAGATCCCTAAGAGCAGCAGTTATTGACTGAGCAGGAATAACACTTCCAGAGGCAGCAACACCTGTAATTCCACATTAAATTATTGCCATAATTATATTTTTCCTACACACACACGCACACTCACACGCACACACACTTGGGCATCTTAAATTGAAATCAATATGGGAATGATCAAAGAGTACTTATCTATTTTTTTTTTATTTTCATGGAATTATTTTCCAGCTATTTTTATCAAGTACTCTCTTGGTTTTTTTCTCATTTTGTCTTCAATCGAGGACCGCCTGCCCGGTACTGACGATGCCCAATAGGCTGAAACAGCTGTATACCGGTGGCTCTTAAATTGAAATCAATATGGGAATGATCAAAGAGT